AACCGTAAAGGATGTGTAAGTAGATCTCAGAGTTTGACATTCACTAAAGTGACTTTCTGTGTCAGAGGGAGAGCTAAATGAGACATGTAAGTAATCAGTCATTTATGAAGATGTTGGCACTAGGCAAATCAAATGACAGCTTTCCTGAAACTTTTCTGTAGCCGTCTCACATGTGCTCATGATACCTCTCATCTCAGCCTATCAGCCTTCGGGGAATGCTGTAGAATTTACTATTGTGAATGAAGGAACAATGTTGATGTGATTAGGAGCTAGCGAAATTCTTTTCCAAATCATGTGATATGATTAACTTCAATAGGTGACTCATGATAACCTCAGCTGGTGTAGCAATCTTTATCTATGAGGACTTTTTCTTCCCCAGGAATGTAATAGAACCCCTAAAGAATCAAAGATTATTAAGGATTATGCTACAGTACACTGAGATTATGAAAACTGGAGACTGGTTGACTGTACTTCATCAGACTTCCTTTACTAACAGAATGATATCCTTTGATTGATACTCATGTTCCCCTGTGATCTAACCTTAATTTACCTTCCCATATTTTTCTCACTGTTCTCTTTCACAAACCAAATTATTTGCTTTTCCTAATTCATGCTGATGAATCAGCTAATTTTAGTCCATACTGTTTATTCTGCCTTAAATGACTTAGCTGTATTCTTTGTACCTTGAAATCACAAGTATGTAATTTAAAGTATTCTCCCTCTGGAGTCTCCTTTTAGCCACTTGATAAGGCCATCATTTGTATTTGTTTTATCCAGCTATTTATCTATTACCTATCTCTATTTAGCTACAGTCATTTAACCATCCTTCCCTGAAATACCTGATATTTATCATGGAGTGAATGAGCTTTTTTTCCTTTTTTTTTTTTTTTTTTTTTTTTTTAGAAATAAGAATGATGTAAGGTGGAAAACAAAGGTAGATATGCCAATACAAACAACAGTAAAATGAATGTAACTTAAATAGATCCCACCATCTGTTTATGGCAGAATATTAAAGAGAGTATAAATGTACCTGTATGCATTTTTCTAGAACCAGAGAGGCTGTCTGGTGGCTTCCCAGGCTGCCAGAATACGCAAAATAACCTGGAACAAGAGCTTTTGCCATTTATGAAGAGTACTTCTGAGCTGATATGCCTAAGCTACAGCTCATCTGGGCATAGGCCTATGCTGACCTTTCTCACTTGATACTGGTTGACATGTTGAGGTTGGATCTTGTTTCCTACATAAGTTCTAAAGATAAGAATGAATACATTTAATAAGGTTTTTGTGCCTTTGATTAATTGCATTTGGTATTTTGAAGCATCACTGTCTTCCCCAAGATCTGGATAACAGATGATTTATTTTTTAAACTCTATTTTTTCTAAATATTTTCCACAAGTAAAAGAATGTCCTGAGAGAAGACTTTAAAACAATCACTTAAGTAAAAGTCATGATACCTCAAGAAAAGGCAAGCCCCAAGATGTATCAAGCTGTTGACGTGAAGGAGAGTGTGGCAATGTATAGCGTGACCTGAGGAAGTAACATGACATACTTCTATCTGATGACACCAGAGAGAGAAAGTAGCTTGTCTGCCTGAGTCAGGTTTGGTTATGTCAGGTAAAGTGAAGCCAGTACTAAGGTTTATTTATAGGCTCACTCACTGGTAAGTGTAGGGTTTCCAAGAAAGAAGAAGACAACTCCTGGCCAGAAGCTTTTCTATGTAATGAATATTATGAAGCTAATGCAAGTACTTTTAATGCATATGACTTAAACTGGTAACCAAACATATAGAATACACAGAACACTAATTAATATGCCTAACTGGGAATCTCACATTAAATAAATTTAATATTATATATGACATCTGAGATAGTGCCTTCAGGTGAAGCATTGCTGTGGCCTAAACATTTCATTAGACCTTATAACCATACAAAAGGAGAAGGAGGAAATCATCTCTAAAAATTGCTGGAGTAGAATCAGGAATTGCACACCAAAGAGATTAAAGAGAGGGAGGTAGGATCTAAAACTGTTGCCGACTCACAAACTGCTCTCAGTAAAACTACCAAAGTTCCAACCTTCCCCTGTACCACTGTGTTCCATCAAGTGTTCATCTCAATCTGTTAGGAATCTTTTCTGTTATTTTATAATGCAATTGCTCTGTGATTTGATAATAGAAGTTAAGTCTATACATTTTCATAATCACCTTCTCCAGAACACATCCATTATGCAAAGGAGGTAAACTTGTATAGCAATAATGCTAATGTTTTATTTTAGGTATACTAAGTGCTTTCATCATATTATCTCATTTGGTCTTCACAATAAACCTCTGGGTAGGTGCTATCCATTTTAGAGGTGAGAAAAATGGAGTCCTATAGAAACATTCTAACATTTAACTTGAAACCCTCTATGCTTTGAATCTCTCTCTCTCTTTCTTTCTTGCTCTCTCTCTCTCATGCTCTCTCTCGTGCTCTCTCTCTCGCACACACACACAGAGACATACACGTGCATGCACACACACTAGAAAGAACAGAAAGCACTGGATATGGTTTAGATCTCTGAAGAAGGTCATTAAATCTAATACAGAAAATGATTTTAAGGACACTTTGGCATCAGCCTGATAGAGATTTGTATCTTCATAGCTTTGTAATAGTTCTGAGACATTGGGCAAGCTTCTTGACATTTTATGTCTACATTTTTTTCATCTATAAAATGAAAACAAAATTAAGAACAGCAATAATATAGGCATTTTGGAAATAAATGAAAATAAGCTACCCAGTCCATAGAATACAATTAAAAGTTAGCTATGAAATTTTCATGATTTGTCTTTTCATAACTAACAACAATGATGAAAAAAATTTAAGTTTCTTGAAAAGAGAGTTACATAAAAAAGATGATCAGTAGCACCCAGTGTTTTCCATAAAATAGGTTTATATTCTTTTTCAAAAAATATTTCTCAACAAATAATGAATTTTAAGATATTGTAATCATTAGGTCATTTGCCTACTACATAACATTACCTCTCTTCCTTAGGCTGTAAGCAAGGGTAAGTCAGTGTATGTTTCAAAGAAGCATCTGTGTGCTTTCAGAAAAGAAAACATTCTGAAAGCACATCCTCCAGAATGTATTTCAATGCAAACATTATGATTGTGGGGCATCATGAGGCCATCGATACCTCCAGCTCCATGGCTTCCATAATGATAAGCCGTGTTCTATCCTGAGGCAGTCCCAAGATCATATTTTTCAGAGAACAATAGCAGACAAGGAAGGACATGTGTAATTTTGAGAAATGTCATATACAACCTTGCTGCTTCAACATTTTCCTGCCAATCAAAAACAGCAGTGTGGTAAATGGTGGCCAGAAGGCTATGTGGCAGAACAGCACGTAGAACATTTTTCTCCTCAACTCTACCTAAAGGAATATAAAGTCTATTTTTTGACTCTGAATTTAGAAAGGAGACTTTATATGCCTGACATTACCCACCAAAAATTCAGCAGTTGTTATTATCAAAGACAGAAGTGACTTTTTTATTTAGGCTTTTTTTAGTGTTTTAAACTTTTTATCATTAACAAAAGCTATTTTTACATAATTTACTTTTGATATATTTCATTTTAAAATAACATAATGAACATTCCAATATAAATAAAATATAAAACTCATAACATTGCCATATAATTATCCTTGTCTTTGTCTTGCAAACATATATTTGAAAACTTCAGATAGGACAAGATAATATACATTAGAGTAAAATGATCTTTCTCATCACCCCAAATACCTTAAAATATCTTATTTTTTATATCCTCCTAGAAAAAAATCATGTCTATGCTAGTAAAAAAAAATATATATATATATATATTTTTTTTTTTTTTTAATTCTCATAGGAGGCATGGTACCATGCATTCCTTATAATCTTTTTAGCAACTTTGCAATATTTTTGCAGGTGTGTACCGTAGTTTACTTTAACCAGTCAACTGAAAATTTTGTATACATTACTTTATAATAAAAAAAAAAAACCTTTTAAAAATGTTTACTACGTCTTAGTCTGAGGTAACTTAAACTTCTCTGTTTATCATATGGTCACAGAAGAAAATCATTGTATGAGTGTGTGTGTGTGTGTGTGTGTGTGTGTGTGTGTGTGTAACACATTAGAGAAGATTGCTTCGAACCTTAATTTTACTTTATAAAAATTTTACTACATAAAATGTCAGGATGGCCACAGGCAAAGTAGATAATATCCCTTTGTGATCCTGACTGAACTGTGGCCTCACATCGAAGTTGGCATACTTCTGCAGAGTTTTAATGCAGTCACTGATTACAGTGTCTGAGATTTTACTGCAATTTCCATTTGACTTAAAACTGATTTTGTCTTCAAAATAAAAGCCTTTAAAAACAGGAAAAATAATTATTTTTCCCATGGCAGGAAATCAAAATCCTTTCATCCGATCTCCTAACAAAAAAGAAAGATAGTAAGAAATCACTGAAAACACAAACTTTGTTGAATATTTAGGCTGAGGAACTTTATTCTCAGACTACCTGCTAATGAGTAGGTACCCTTGACCCTAAAAAAAAAATTATATCAAAGTTTATTCTAATTGACAAAAAAGCAATTAAGGTTTGGTGAAACCATTTTGCTGCAGATTTTAAAAAAAAAAAAACATTCACCAATGTGTTTTGAAAGAAGAATTTTGTTTGTGGGTTTGGAATGACTGATCTGTATAAAATGTGGAGATTGTACAAGCCTAATACAGAAAAATAAATGTGCAAGCAAGCCACATTCTAACCTTGAAAGTGTGGCTGCTTTTAATGACATAGTGTACCAAGGTCAGGAAAAGGTGCCCTCAGCAGATGGAAGATTTTCCAAGTAAAAAAGCTTCATTTACATTGAAAATGCATTGAGCTACACATGATTTCTAATGTGTAATTGGTTGTTCTAGGTATGATCATGGTTTGTTTCTATTATAATCATGTATCAAGTGACTGATTTACTTTATATATTTCCCAGCAGGAGTTTTCTGTGGAAAAGCAGGAAAAGAGAAGTGGAGGAGGAAGGACTCCCTCCATACCCTGTGCTAAACCTACCAGGTGTCACTGTTTCAGTGGGAGTCTGGAAAGAAACTGTCAGAGGACACATCTGAACCTTGGTGAGAAGTAGATTTCACGATACCTTGACTTTTAACCTTTAATACATATGGAGAACGATTTAGGAAATTTTTCCATTGGTTATTTCAGCCTGTGCTTTCTCAGTTTGTAGTTAGATAATGTTTATATTTGAGTCATATGTTGTTCAGAACTAGTTTGTTGAAGCTATTCTATAATAAGTATTCTTTTATTTTTTAATTAACTTGTTTTTAACTTTTATTGGTACGTTTGCAATCCATAGTGATTACATTCATTGTAAAGAATTACTACATATACAAAGAACATTTCAACTTTTTTCCCCTTCCTTTCACTTAAATTCCTTTTTTCTTTTGGCAGCATCAGATTGATTTATTAATTTTATAAGACCTGGTAAAGTTTATTACCATACATACAAATTAAAAAACAGAATAATAGGCCAAAAAATCATATTAAACATGCAACATAATTGTAAGTCAAAGTACACCTTTAAAGACATTGTCCTGGCTGGTTGTGCTGATTCAGGATGTCCATGTGCTGGGGAACACAATGCATTCAGAAGACTGGTTCTCATAGCCTTTTTCAGGAGTTCTGATTGAACTTCAGAGATAAGATGCCACAAGCTTGCACGCCGGCATTATGGAAGTGATTTTTCTTTATTTCTTTTCGTGCCTTTCACACTGTATTCTCTCTCATTCTTCCTCTCTCGTGTGCGCACATTCTCTCCCCTTCTGTCTTCTCTCTGTGTGTCTCTCTCTGTGTGTCTCTCTCTGTCTCTCTGTCTCTCTGTCTCTCTCTCTCTCTCTCTCTCTGTTTCATGAAAATTCATTTATCTATGACATTTAAACACCTGTCTGAGAGGTGTCTGGAGCAGTGGCTGACTATGGATATCAATAGTTTCTTAGAATCTGGCACTCTGTCAATATTTGGGGCCCTCAATAGCAACTTAAATGCAGAGCCTGCCAGCCATCTTGCTCTTAGTGCCTTAGTAACAGGTCTGAAGGAGTGTATATTAGCATGTCAGATCTTTTCACAACTAGCAACCCTTACTAGATAGTTCATAGGCATCTTGCATGTGATTTCTGCATCTTTCTGTTTGCTTGCCTTATTTATATGTTGCCATTTTTCACATGATACATAAATAATAATCTTTAAAAAGTGTTCTTACAAAAACTAAAGTACCTGGCATTATACAATCTGCATTTTGTGACTTTTATCAACATTAGGGGATAGTGTATTGGCAGTACATTTTAAAAAATTATATTCTAGGTGATTTTTGCTTGCTTTTTTATGTTTTACTTATTTTATGATATTTGAGCCTAAATTATCATTGCTGTTTTGTTGTAGAAATACACATTTATAAGGCAACTGGGACTTTTTGCCTGAAATATCTTTAGCTTCTGTTTCAGCCTAGTGTGATACATATATAGATACATGAAGAATAAATATTAGGTAGTTGGAGAGATAAGATTGTCTCTGAAACAAAATCTACTTCTATTTTGAAACATTTCTCAGTTGTCATCTCTGTTACATAAGTGAAATGGGTCATGTAAAACTTGAGTCATTACAGCAGTATTATGTCAACTTTCCCCAGATAAAAGCATATTGGCCTTTCATAGTGTGTCAGGAAGACCTATAATGGTACCATATGCTAGTTACTAAAGTTTGTGTTTTCTCAACATAAGAAATATGTTCTTATGTTTCTCAACATAAGAAAAATGGTTTCTTAACCATATTTTTGATACAAATATATAAAGAATTTGAATTTTAAAAATATGAATGGGAAAATGAGAACTTATCAGGTACCATCTCTTATCTTGGAAATCTGTACATAATTTAGAACAGATGTAAAAAATCTTGCCCAATTTTAGGTCATACTTAGAGCAAATAATCAAAGTGTTCATATAGCCAGGAGAATATCCTGAAAATCTTAGTGTCCATAGTGGAATCATGAAATGGCTTCTTCCTTGAACCTGCCAGACCAGCAGTAACTCCTGAGTAAAATGGAGTTAAATCCGTCTGAGTTTTCATTTTTAATTCAGGTCTGTAACATTTGAGTATTTGAGTATTTGACTTCCATGTGGGCTTGTGAAATCTGCTACATACCATAGAAGATTTTAAGGAGATTTTTGTTGGGACTGAAGAAAGAAATTTCTAATAAACAGCATTAATGCAATTTCAGTGCAACAACTAAAGACTAACTCAGGACCTCTAGAGCCTTTAGTTTTACCCAGAAATGGAAATTTACATATTTATCACCTTGTAATTATGAGTCCTTCATATGGGTTAAAGTTCATTTGACCAGCTATAAATGTTGTCTCCTAATATTGTGCCATATTTACAGATAGTCATCTTTTTAAAGATTAGTTAGTCATTGTCATTGGTAGCATGAAGTTTCTTAGAAAGTACTATGATGAATCAGGCAGCATGTATGGACAGAGGTGTCACAAAGCTTCCGTCTACTGGAAATCATTTGGTAATATAAAGGCAGGCCCCAAAGTTAAACAAAGAAATATGGACATAAATACCAAGAGGATGAAAAGGAAAGCAGAGGAATATGTGGATTTGTAACAAGGCTTGTATCAAGGAATTTAGTACTTTTCTTTCTAATTCACATCATTATAAGAAATTAGTCCATGGATTATAATGAATAAATACACATTATCTACTGTTACCATCTATGCTTAAAACTGTTGCTCTGGTCTCATATAAGGAAAAACTACACAATATGTAAACCTATGAGTTTTCTTGTGCCACCAAACCTTCAACTCATCTGCAGTAGCAAAGATCTTCAGTACCTTCCTTCCATGCCTTAGAGACTGGTCTCTATTTTTGTTAACAAGACTCATATGCTGTGCTAAGCATTTACCCACTTCTTGCTCTGCATTCAGAATTTAATGGGTAAATGTTAAATCTGTCTTTCATTTTATACAGTGGAATGTTAGCTGCTATTCCTTTCTGAGACAAAGAAAGAAGCAGGTATGAGATGAGAACATAAAATTAGCTTGCAGAATTTGTATTTAAGAACAAAATAAATACTGTTTTCTTTAGACACAGTTTGGAGCTATATTTGAATCTGATGGATTGAATTTAACCATCTCTTTTCATTAATACTATTACGATCTCTTTTTTAAAGTGGGAAACTTTTGTGTTTTCTTCCTAGAAATCCCAGTAGCTTTAATTATTTCCTCTCTAGTATATATTTTGTCTCCTGAACACAGAGTAAAATGAGGGATATGGGAACAGTGGGACCTGAGTGCTGAGGGTTTTCCGTCTGGTTCCACCTCAGCAAAGAAGCATATATGACTCTTCTGCCTTGATTACCCTTGCTTGAAGAGAAATAGCTGCCTTACTGCATAGATAGTAATCAACTTGAAAGGGTACCTTGAAAGATCTGCTTACCTTCACTGAAAGTAAAATCTGCTGATTTTATGGAGATAAGCTTTGTTGATACCACTCTAATGACTTAGTAATGACTTAGGCACACTTAAATAGAGATGCACAGTTTCACCCAAAAGGCACTGGAGAGCATTGGGCTACCAAATATCACTGGTCCTGTATTTCTAGTTACGGGGATACCTTTATTCAAAAATCTACCCCCTATATTTAGTTTATGAATACCTTTATTTAGATTATTTGTTGTCTTTTCCACATCTATGGTAATAGTAAGCACACTTGCCAACTTTGAGTTCAAAAGGTCTCCAAGCAAGGAACTCTTGTAGGAACTCACTTCAAAAGATTTACTTTGTATGAGAATTTTTGCTGTACATACCATAGAATGGGGACATTTCCTCTTCCTCTTTTAGAAAGCATGAGCTCTGGAAATACCTATATACATTCCTTCAATGAAAGTTGTTTCCCCAACAATTAAATAACATATGCTTTTTATTTTATACTGATGTAATCGTGGCCTGGAAGCTACCTGCTTAACCATTAGTTGTGAACCCAGAGATCTGAGTAATGAATACCAACTCAGGTACGTGGGCCCCTGGGAATTACAAGCTGAAGAAAGAATACTCTGGGCATGTATAGGACTAAGTAAACCTAGCTGGGCACAATGGCTCCTGCTTGTGATCCCAGCACTCTGGGAGGCTAAAGCAGCAGGACTGCAAGTTCAGATCCACCATGGATGACTTAACACTTTAAGGAGACTTTGTCTCAAAATTTTAAAGATGTGCCCAGAGTGGTAGGGTGCATTAGAATGTAGTTCAGTGCAAAAGCCAATCTCCAGTATGCCCAAAACAAAGAAAAAATAACCTGATAGAAAATAATATAGATTTAGAAGAAATACTGGATAATGTATTAAAATACATACCATCTTTTACTAAAGAGTAAAATTTCTTTGTTAATAAAGGTAATAAATTTAACATGTAATCTACTTATTAACAACATTATTGTATTTACAATCAACACAATTTTAAAATAACATAGAAATTAAGGCTTTTGTATAAATGCTGTTTTGTAGCTGAATGCTTCAGAAGGTTGCTAACATGCTCAGATTGAATTATTAATTTGTAGGTGATGAAACTTACACATTTACTTTTATCATCTCTTCCCTGCCAAACAAAAGCTTACTATTTGAGAAACTACACCTCAGTGCAACCATTTCATTACTTCTACATTTCAAGTTAAAGCCATGGAAAGCTAGCTTCAATTCTCTGAAATATCCTAGGAGAGTCCTTTTAAAGCTGATTTGGAAATCTTTTTGTGTTACCAAAACATGATGCCTGATAATATCTCTTTGTCTTTGCTGGCGCAATGAGAGTTCTCTTAGACTAATGCTGGCGAGGGCTATGATTTAACTTCACATAACTAGCAAAGCCTTAATATAATGTTGCCTTAAATAACAAAGATTTCTGTTGTTTTGTGCAAAGAAAACAATTTTGTTTTCAGAATGCTCAAGAAATGACTAGTAGGGTATCAGAGTCAATATGTAGAAATATAAATGTAATATACCACTGGAATCAGCCCTGGATTCTAGTGTGTGATTATCTTGATACATGTTTTCCAATACTTTTTTCATGTT